ATTCCTCAGGGAGGTGCCAGTCTCATCCTCTTGTTCCTCTCACGCGGTTCTGGCGAGCTAAAAAATGTTTATCTCCCTGAGCTTGGCCTTCATAATTCCATTAGCCTATTTCATGCCATCATTTGAATTACTCAGGACTAGTACTTATGCGATCTCCCTTCTTTCCTTTCTTTTCCAGGCTCTCAAGTAGACAGCAGCACTGGCTTTGGGATGACAATAATATGGGAGGAATAGAGAGTAAAACACTTCTGCTGTTCCAACAAATAGATAGTATTATTTATTTTTCCTCCATCTACTTTCTCTTCTCACTTCCAACCTCTGGGTACAGCTGAGCTATGCAAGCAGAAGTCCCATGGAAAATTAAATGGCAGAGGAGAGCTGTGGAGAAGAATTCTACTTGAATCTATTATTTCTGTTCTGTTCCATTTCTGAATTTTAAGTACCTAGTACTTAAAAGAGTACTGCTGGACAAACATCTGTATCTTTAGGTTATCCATCATTCCCATGCAGTCCCAAAAGACTACATAGCACTGCATGGCTGAAAGATGGAACCCAAACTCTTGCCTCATACCTGCCTTACTAAGTTTATACAACACAGTAGGCAAAAATATAGCTGGGCAAACCCAACCAGGGTAGTATTTTTATGGCTTGGTGTATTGTATAAAGCCATGCAATTGAGTTAATTTAGTAAACCATATTTCAGTTCACTGTGGCCTAGCATATTGTGCAAATACAGCCTGGAACAGTAGTATTTCAGAATTATTTATCCTCAGAACTTCCCCAAAGGATGAAACAAACAATCAAACAAACTCTTAATTGATGTTCATATTATCTTTGTTTTGTTTTAGCTTCCTTGACTATATAGTACAGTCCCATTTCTATCTTTAAGAACCCCCATAAAAGCAGCCTCAAATCATGCCACTATAATTTAGCCACTTTGTTTAAAATTGTGGGGCTGCATCTTCAAGCCATTTTCAGTGGAGTTGTTTTCAGTTGTGTGAACACAATAACTGTTTTCTGAAAAAAAGACTTACACTTTTTCCTTATCAATATTCCTCAAAAAATATTGGTTGTGTTTGTCAATACAGTATCATTGAGTGATTTTTATTAGAACTTTTATAGTGTCAATTAACCAAGTCTTTCAGTAATATATCATAATTTACTCAATTAAGCTAGTTTTCTGGATTTGTGTGATAAACTGAATCATAAACTGATAACACTGGCTAGGTGTACCCAACATGTTAGGCAACAATGCAGCCTACATTGCATTTAATTATAATATAGTTTGGCTTGGGCACAGCACCTTATGCAAGCTTAGACATTGTGATATATAAAACTTGGATTACATTTTAATGTATTGTGTGAACCTAGTCAATTTTGAATTATTTAACTACCATGGATTAGAATTATATGTGAATTTACTCTTTATTTTACTTTCTATTATCAATGAATTAGTGCAACTTTAGCTCCTACGTACTTGATGTTGTGTCAAAGTGTTGAACTGGGGAGACTCAGATTCTGAAACTTTTCTCAGTCATGGAAAAAGTACCATGTGAGATTGAACCAGTCTCTCTCTCTCTCTCAACCCTCCCTCCCTCCCTCCCTTCCTTCCTTCCTTCCTAGGGTTATTGTTGCAAATCTGGAAGAGGGAGTGCTATCTATACCACTTTGAGCTTCTGAAGGAAAGGCAGGATATAATACATCTAACAAATACAAAACAATACACTTTGGCTTGGTCCATCACATTCATTAAAAAGTTAATGGCAAGTATTTGGGGGACAGCCATGCAATTGGTATTATGCAAATATTTAAGTTTATATGAAATATGTGATAATTTATATATTAAAATTACTGCATAGTGCTTTCAGATGATGAAGTTTTAGTCATTTAACCTGAAACCTATAGGAGAGCTGAACTGGCCCTCTGACCTTGATAATGCTCACCCATCACCCACTACTTACAGGTTGTCTCTGCATAACACACCAGATTAACCTGTAATTGGCTAGTTTGTAGTTCGAGGTAGTGTACAAACTCAGGCTAGTGGGCTAATTCGATGAACCAAGTTGCTGAGTGCAATCTACAGGCTAGAAGCTTGCCTGATTTGGCCTCAACAAGGTTACTTAGCAGATGCCTTCTAGAACCCGGACTTGTTGGAAGGAGAAACGAATGTCAGCAGTTGCTTAATTCTAACGAGAATCTACTCCAGCAAACCCCAGGAGGAGATGCTGTTTTGACGCACTAATTGCTTGTGTGTGTAATTACAGCGGATGTAGGTGGGAAAAGAAATTGAGGCATTAATTCGCTGTCATGGCACTTGAGAAAAAAAAATCGGTCAGCACAGCAGCGGACACGCTCAATGTCATCTGCTAGGTCCATAGCGGGATCTCTGCAGCTAATCACTCTGTCGCCGGGTCACTTTGTTAAGGTAGTTAAACATTCCCACCAAGGCGGCTCCAGTTACGCCAACTCCTCCCCTCCCCGCCTCTGGCACCTGGTGAGGATGCGCAAGCACACGGAGAGGCGCTGCGAAGTTTACCACCGTGTGGAAGCAAACGGTTCACGTCTCGTCAGAAAAGCGAGCGTTTCTCCACAAACCAATCCTTCGAGCAGGGACAAACGGGCCGAACTTCAGCCCTGTCTGCTCACTCTTTTTTACTCCCGGTCTCCTACCGCGCCGAGGCCTTCTTCTTTAGCCGTCGGGAGACCGCCCAGGAGGTGTGGCTTGGAGCCTGTCTCCGGCTGTCGCTTTTCGGCAGCCGAAACTGAGCGGGGGGACTGGTTTTGCTGGATTTTGTGCCCCCTCGGCCTGACAAGACGCAAGCTGCTGAGGACGAAACTCGGACTACAAGGCGAGCGGAGGACTCTGGCGAGTGCGCCGTCCAAACGACGGCGAGCAACAAGTCTCTTCGGTCCTTTGCCTTTCCGGCTGGGCCGCATGGGAAGTTAGGGGTTCGGTTCCACAGATCCCTGGGCTGCCTGTAAGCACGTGGCCCGGTCCTTCGGAGGTGGACGCCTGCGGTGGAGCTGAAGGCGCTGGCTCAGGTGCCCTCGTCTGCTACCGAAGGAAAAATCAGGGAGCCCTCGAGGAGGTGCGCTGAAATGGGAACGAGAGAGGTGGCCGCAGCGGGATGAGTCACGGAAGTGTGGAGGAGGAGGAGAAGGGAGACGGAAGCGGCCGTGGCGTTTTTTCTTTTTCTCCCTTCCCGGAACCGAAATGCTCCCTTCCTCGCCGTCGGTGAAAGCCCCGTGAGCAGCCCTTCTTTCGATTGCCCACGCCGCCCGCAGGTCTGGAGCAGACGTCCTCGGGAGGAAAAACCACCCGCGTTTGTACCTCGGGGGATCCACTCCGAACTGTGGGAGGAGCGAGGTTTGAGCGCCGCTGAAACAACGTGTAATGGGGAGAGACCCGGCACATCCCGGCGCTGCTGGCGGGGCCATCACCACCTAAGAGCGATGGTGGCGGCTTCATCAAGGACGACAGCAAGAGCACCAACTCCGGTCACAGGGACCCGGCAGCGTAGCAGGAGGAGCGGGCCCCGGCCATTGTCTGCCAAGGTAACGGCAAACCTCCGCCGCCGCCGTTTCGGTTGTCTGCGTGTCTGCGCGTTTGCTTGGCGGGCGGAGGAGCAGTTGGAGGGAGGAAGAGAAGGCGGCGGCGGTTTTGAAGGGGGTTGCATTCAAGTGGACCGCGGTAGGGTATCCAGGATTGGGGCTCCCTGCCTTCGCGCAGAGGCGCTGGCCCGCACGCCCCAACAATCCTGTTCGGGCGGTTTAATGCTTTCCCCCGCCACTCCCTGAGTGCGAAAAGCAGACTGGATTGGACGTGGAAAATTCTGCCCCAGAATATGGCTCGTCCGTGCGGCGTCGAAATCTGAAAGAATCAAGGGGGACTTGCTGCCTCTGGGGTTTCTCGACGGCCGAGTGTAAAAGACCAACAGTGTTTTTTACTTTTAAGAGGGGTCGGTGACATGACCCTGCCTTGTTCTACTGGCCTCTCTTCTTCCATTTCAGACCTTTTATTCTCACGTTCTTTTTCCATTGTAAGTTCATATCTGGTTGAATTTGATTGATCGGATTATATTCTAAATGTATTCTGGAATGTAGAATTTATATGGGAACTAAACAGCTAGAGAGAGAATTTGACAGAGTTTCGGTCAAATCTGGATGATTTCATCAAAGAACAAGTTGACATAGAACTGTTAAGATACTGTTGTAGAAGTGAAAAAGCTGTTGGCTTTCAGTTTATTTTCTACCTTGCATTAGTGCAGGAACTATAGAGACTATTCTGATTTTTCTGAGTTTCTTTGAGGATTGTGCCCGGCTTGTAAATGACAGAGAAATGACGTAGCATGGAAAGTCTGTTTCAGAAGATAGAAGTGCTAGAAATACTATATCCTTAACACTGACATCAGTCCAGTCAACTGACATTTGATATCTTACTCTGAATATGGGGAAATAAATTATTTGATTATTTGTGTGAAGAAATCGAGCAAATTGGAGGGAATAACAGGCCATCTTCAGTTTTAGTTTTTGCTAAGATTTAAATGTTTCCTTTTAATGGTGTCAGAGCAAGATTTACAGACTATTTGGATGCTCTCAAGATAGGCTGGAAAATGATGGTATTTTCTTTACTATATGTGCGTGTATGTGTGTGTTTAGCTAATTAATCATAGAACATGAGATCTTCTGTTTATTTTGGAGTTCTAAAGACCAATGAACCTTCCTCCAAGTTTATGTATTAGTTTTATTCTGTGATTTTCACAAAGATAAGATTAAGCTACAGTGAGTACTCACAAGATCATGCCAGTTCTGTAAAACTTCAGATAGTGTTCTCCTTTAAGGATAATTTTGTGCATATAAAACTTTACACACTGATAACTATGTCTAGTCTACACCCCCCAAATCACTCTTATTCCAAATAGTGAAACCTACTTAATATTCTCTTTGATCTCCATATAATCATTAGACTACATAATACAGATTATTAACTCAAGGATTCAGCAGTGTAAAACAGAATCCACTCAGCAAGAATACATTGTTAAGAACAATTTACCAGATAAGAAAAATCCTTGACAAAGATTGTAAAAAAATATGTGCTGAAGTGATCATGATGATGCATAGTTACTTTTCTCTGAATCCCTCCCTCCAAAAAGCCCCCAAAGTAGCTAACACAATCTGAAACAACCATAATCCAAGGAAAAAGAAATGGCAAATAGAAAGGAGGGAACATGTTAGCTCTGGCACCAGAGCTTAATTAAAAATTCTTTTCATTGCGAATTGGAGTAAAAGCTGCTTGGGGTACCTTGATGGCACAGCTGATCATAATTTGGAGAGGCAGACTCTAACCTAAAATTTGTATGTTGACAAAGTAATGCTAGCTTTGGGAATGTATCCCATATTTAGGAAATACATGACATTACCTGAGCATAAAGATTTTTGGTTGTAATTAAGCCTTTGCTTTGAGTAAATTATATTTTACATAAATTGAAGGGTGGAAAAAGTGACATGAGAGTGCAAGTAGAAAGATAGAAAGGTGTTTTCTAAAACTGCTAGGTGTGCCAATACACTATGACAATAATAGGCCTACCTCTTTTCTTATCCCACTCTTTGTCACATGCTGGGAAAATGGTCACGTAATCACATTAGATGTCACACTGCATGTAGGAAGGAATCAGCTGGTTGTTTATGATCTTGGGGAACAAAGAAGAGGTGAAGACTGAAGTAGATATTGATATCAGAAAGTGTTACAGGTTGTTTGGAGCTGATACAGACTAGTGAGGTTTAGAATAAAGGTAAATATTTCCATAATGCATTTAAGCTTGGTAACTGTAAAATTGTAAAAAGTTTGGTATGGTAAAATGACAATGAATTGTAGATTCTAGAATGTTCCAAATAATCTGAATGATAATCCAAATGTACATACAGGTAGCTTGAAATATTTACATATTAGATTGCAGGAAAGAAGACTTTTTGTACACAATAGGAGTTAAAGGTAGATTATCATTTTTGAAATGTTTAGAAAACCCATCATTTTTTTAAATGAATCCTGACAAAATTGGTACACATTGGTACCAATTTAACAGTTGAAGTGATACATTGTTAACAGTTATGGCATGGACTAAAAATGAAATTGAAGATAGATGTGTGTGACTATATTTAACATAATAAACTTAACATTGATTCCACTCCACTTTTTAAACTATTTCTTGGGGGGGGGAACCCTCACATTTTTGCATTTAATCAGGAATCTGAATATTTTAAACTTGCATAGTGAGCACATAAGTTAAACTCAAAACTATAAAGAATAAATTGTAATAAAATATGAGAGTATCTTAATATATGACATTTCTAATTACTTCCACAGCTGGGGATTGTTCAGGTTCCTCTGGTCAATGCAGGGTGGTCTGAGATTGAAAATATACAGACTGGAATACATAGGGAATTTAGGGGACAGATCAGCACATGCAGCTCTATCTTTCTAGATGTTCTGAACACTCAGGTGTGCTATCAAATGCATAAATAGGGCCACTGAGACATGACTTTCAATACAATGGGGATGGAAGGATGACCTTGATTTATTACTCAGTTTAAATGATGCCCACTCACATGAGATCCTGAGCAGCTAAAAACCAGTTAGAAAGAACCACAAACTAACTGAATAACAACAATCACAACACATCATGCTTGGAGTGACTCATAAGCTGCACAATCTCATCCCTGAACACAGACTCACCCAGTATCTTGGCCCAAGAGAAGAACCAGGTCTTCAGCACCTTACAAAAGGCCAACAGAGTCAGGGCCATCTGAATATTGGGGTGGTGTTCTATAGAGCAAGTGCTGCAACAGAGAAGCCACACTTCCTGGGTCCCATCAGATAACACTGTTCAATAGAAGAGACCTAAAGCATGCCCACCCTGTCAGATCTTGTAGGATAGGCAGAATAATTGGAGACAGGAGGTCCTGCAGATAAGCCAGCCCTGTGCCATGAAGGGCTTCATAGGTGATAAACCACATCTTGCACCTGGAAGCCAATTGGAAGTCAACATAGCAGAAGTGTTACATGGGTATACTGAGGTATGCCTATAACTACCCATAACTACCTGCACTGCTGCATTCTGGACCAGCTGTAGCTTCAGGGGGAACCCCATGTAGAGCACATTGTAATGATTTAGACAGAAGGTGACCAAATCTGATGGAATCCTTAACAGATCTTGGGAATATAGAGAAGGTAGCAAGACAATTAAGAGTAGAAACAGGGCTATTACAGATAACAGGTGGTCCTCACTTAACTACCACTATTTCAACAACCATTCAAACTTATGATGGTGCTGAATGACTGATACTTACAACTGGTACTGAAAGTTCAAGCTGTCGTAGCACCTCGTGGTCACACGATTGCCATTTGTGACCATCACTGCTGGCTTCTGACAAGCAAAGTCAGTGGGGAAGCCAGCAGGAGGTCACAAATGACAACTATGTGACATTGGGCTTAATGACATCATGGAATTTGCTTAACATCAGCTGGAAGTGCTAGAACCGCCATTGTTAAGCAGTGCAGTCACATGACATCGCACTTTATGACCATGTCACTTAGCAGTGGAAATTCCAGTCCCAATTGCCTTCATTAACGGAGGACTATCTGTACATTATTGAATCCAGGGAGGGGGGAAGTGTGAGAAAGAGACTCAGACTAAGACCACTTTAATTACACTAGGTATACATTGTGTGGGCACATTACTTGGGTAGGCTTTCACAGTAATTGTCAAGCCCTGGAAACAAGATTCTCTTGGATTTCTGGAAAGAACTTTATTGCTAGTAGGGTAATGTAACAATCTCAAAAGACTACCGAAGTAATTCTCCCACACAACTTATATCTGGTATGCAAGAGACTTACTCATCTGTTTAACACATTTCTCCCCTCCCTTGCACTCAAGAATCTCTTGGGTAATGGACCTGTTTCTTCCCTTAATGGTCTTGCCGCCTCCTGCATTCACAAGGTCTGTTAAGCACTCCATCACACCAAAACATGAGTGACCTACAGTGGGGCAAAAAAGTATTTAGTCAGCCACCAATTGTGCAAGTTCTCCCACTTAAAAAGATGAGAGAGGCCTGTAATTTTCATCTTTTCCACCATGATTTGCAAATAAATTCTTTAAAAATCAGACAATGTGATTTTCTGGATTTTTTTTTCTCATTTTGTCTCTCATAGTTGAGGTATACCTATGATGAAAATTACAGGCCTCTCTCATTTTTCCACCATGATTTGCAAATAAATTCTTTAAAAATCAGACAATGTGATTTTCTGGATTTTTTTTTCTCATTTTGTCTCTCATAGTTGAGGTATACCTATGATGAAAATTACAGGCCTCTCTCATTTTTCCACCATGATTTGCAAATAAATTCTTTAAAAATCAGACAATGTGATTTTCTGGATTTTTTTTTCTCATTTTGTCTCTCATAGTTGAGGTATACCTATGATGAAAATTACAGGCCTCTCTCATTTTTCCACCATGATTTGCAAATAAATTCTTTAAAAATCAGACAATGTGATTTTC